AATGATAATTTAGATGTAATGCGAGATACTATGTTAGGTAGTACTGACAGCTTAGAACCAACAAGTTCAACAGCCACACATGCTACTTATCAATATGAAACTGATTCTGTCATGTCCGGTAGTTTTACAAGTGGCGGATCAAATACCATGGTTTCCAGCATTGATCATTTTGATCAGATATCTGACGATTTGGCTATAAAAAAAGTTTGGTTTGAAGATTGTACAGAAGCTTCGTACTCAGACGTCATAGCTCCATCCAAGCCTTATGTATCTGAAGTTATAGAACCCTGTGATGAAGAAGGATTTTATAAAATAATACATCGCACAGTTGGCTTACCACCTGAAATCCGTAAAGTCACGTTTACTGGTTCAAATGCCGAAAAAGACATGCAAAACTACGTCTCCAATTTTAATGAGGGCGAAGAAATGCATGAATTTAAAGAAGTGGATGAACATGGCAATGTTCACATCAAACGAGTTATTCAAAAGCGAATGATACTACAACCTAACGAGGATTATAAATTTTCTGACTTAGGTGTGTCAGATTACGGCGTGCATCAGAGTAGTTCATCTGCAAAAACTACTTCAGATTCAAAATTGCGGCATTATCCAGATGATACAGACCACGGCTTTTTAAATCCCGAGGAAGGCATGGCTAATATAGATTCGTCTGCTGCAGCATCATTTACTAACACTAAAGGTAGACTAACTAATCTAACACAGCTTTCATCCAAAAACAATGCATGTGAAAATATAAATAATTGTAATTTACAGGTATAAAAGAGAATACGGGATTTGAATAATTTGCAGTAATAAGTATTGTTGTCGTTTATTTCAATCAAATTATAGATTTTTGTAGTTGAATTAAAATATTATGCGATGCAGAACTCAAATAATAATTTTAAATTTCAAAATATAAATGACACGTTGATTTAATACATGAAAATAAACATTCAAAAACCGTTATTAACTTACGCAAAAGTAAACATAATTATATTTAAAATAGTCCCACCACATAAAGTGATATTAATAAACATTGATATGAAACTGATTTTCCAATTCAGGGTTTTTGCCCGATGAGAAACAAATTGAACAGAGCATTGTTTTATTTTATAGAAGTTTGAAAACCTGTTTTCAGCAAATCAATTCATATATTTATATATATATATATATATATATATATATATATATATATGTATGTATATATATATATATATATATATATATATATATATATATATATATTATATGGATCTGCATTTATTTGTCTTTTTAAGAACTTTGCCAAAGAAACCATATCTCAGAAATGAATTTCGAACCAGCGAACTTAGGTATTAGGTATATCTCCTAACTTAGGTATTGTATTAAAAAATATATAATTTTTTTCCTACTATCTATTTTTACAAATTATTTACACTAGAGAGAGTTTTCGTGCTTTTATATTCAGACTTTTACGCTTTTTTTTTTAAGAAAAACTTGACGAAAAAACAATATAGAAATTTTCGATGCCCTGAGAGTTCATGCTCTGTTGTTTCATCGGAAAAGTTTCTTGAAAAGATCCATCGAAGTAGAATCGAAAATTATCCCTATATATATATAGGGATATATATGTGTGTGGGTGTGTGTGTGTGTGTGTGATAATTTTGATAAAACCAAAAAACTTTTTAAACAGGCATCCATCCAGAAGATAAATATAAAGAAAACAAAATTATGTTTCTTAAAGCTAATTTAATGGTCCATACGTTTTGAGTACCAATTTCACTTTTCTTCAGTGGCAATAGAACACAGAAGTAATTATGCACTAAACACGAAAACGAAAACATGTAAAACAAAGTTGTTACTCAAAGACAAAACATGTTATTAGAAAAATAAATAAATAGAAATTATATTTCTAAAATAAAATAAAACGAAAAATAATAAATTGGAAGCTCACATCTCAAAGAACAAAACACAAATGTGTGTGTCACATTACTTGTGTGATCCATTGCCACTTAAGAAGAGTAAAGTTGGGACTCGAAATGTGGATCATTAAATTTGCTTTAAGAAAAGTAATTTAGTTTTCTTTATATTTATCACCTGGATGGATGCCTGTTTAAAAAGTTTTTTGGTTTTATCAACATTTTAACACCATCCGAAAGAAATATCACACACACACACATAAATATATATACATATATATATATATATATACATATATATAGGAGATATTATGTATGTATATATAATGTGAACGTGTGCGGAGTATGTTTATATGGTGTATGTTGTGTATATATTATAAATCAACGATATACAATTAAGGCGATATTCAATTGATCTTACTAATCCAGTTAATTCCACAAATAAAGGTAAACGACGGCGTCCTTTAAGATACGAAATTAGTATCGATGACCAAACAGAAGTGGACCCTCGCGAACATGATTGGCGTTTTAATCTTTATCAACATGGTAACAATAAAATGAAAAAATTATACACCAATATTTTGTATTTTCTACAAAATTTCTCAATCTCTTTCCTTTCGTAGCTTTCCTGTACTTGAATGTATCAATCTAATGCACAGAATATTTAATATATTTGTTTGAAATCCAAAAGGCGCACAAGTATATATATATATATATATATATATATATATATATATATAAATATATAATTTATTTTTCTGCTAAACAACCACATTACTTGTTCAGTTTAAAGTCCGCAAATTAATTCAAGCAACTTTTCTAACTAATCCTTACGTACAATCGAATATGTATTCCAGTCTGATTTGAAATGTACATATTTTTTAAATTGATCATGTTTAATTTTTATTTCAAAGTTCAATCTTGATTTATTACAAAACTATATATTACTTTTGTTGTGTTCTCCATGAACTTGCTGAATGACACTCATTTGAAAATAGTGTACAAAATAAATAAAACAAGCATTAATTTTTTTTTTTTATTTCTAAATTTAAATGAAAAAAATCTATCGACGTTTCAACGTCGAAGTCAAAAATCTAAAACGTATAGATTTAATAAATAAACATATTTTAAAAAGTGATGAAATTTATGTGGTTGTTTAGAATGTTTATCTTCTTCCAAAACTCAAAATTTACTTTCATGAGCCTTCATAACTTCACGTTACTATATCTAATATAAATTATTAAAGAGATTGTTTGTTAACATTTACATTTGCAAACAGAAATCAGGATTGACTTTTAATATGAGGAAAGGAAAAAAATAATATCATAAATCTAGTAATATATACGCTTTTTATGAAATTCCGCAAATTTTAACTTTTTGAACACCATTAATAAATTATATGCTTAAAATGTTGATGCAAAGAGTTCAAATCAAATCCAGTAGAGATATTAATATTTCAGTCGGAGAATTATTATTTATAGATAGGTCCCATGAAAAACCGCGTAACTCGAAAAATTGACTCTTGCATGGAAAAACCGTGCTAAACAAAAATCACTATAAAAGCCCCTTTTGCCGTCTTTTAATATGATGACTAACAAAAACATTGAACGAAAAATAAATATTATTATATTCAATATGAAATTTCCATCTTATCTACTTATTTCCATCATCGGCATAGACTATATGTACTAAGAATTCGTAACTGCAACATACATTTTGTAGTGTTGTATTTTCACAATAAAGCTAGTGGGGTGCATGTCATGGTGCCTTAAGGCAAATTGCTGGAACTTCCCGTACCGTAAATAAAAATCTTGGTACGGAACCCAAAAAAATTTACACAAAATGTGTACACATTATTAAAATCTCTATAAAATATTTGATAATTTGATGTACATATGTCCAATAAATATTTTTGACCGCCAAATGACATTATTATTTATTGAGAGTCTTTTGAGAAAATTTTACCAGTTGTTTATTTCGTCAATACAAGTAAAATGTTTTTTGAATTATTAAAAGCGGACGCTCCGTTCTCTTAAAAACTGAATTACCATTTTTGGTACTTTTTGCCCCGTATCGTTGGAACGGCTAGACCGGCCTTCGCCAAAAATAAGCTAATCAGCACATCTCCTTATCAATACAAATCGAATGTTTTCTGAATTATTCAAATCAGTTGATCGGTGTTCCCGAAATCGTCGACGAAAATTTGTATCCGCACACACACACACACATACATCAATTTTTTTAAGGTATGCCAAAAGGTTCAAAAACCTTTGAAACGTAAAGATATATAAAAATTTTCATTTTCGATTTTTTTGCGATTACTATAACTTACCCTACGTGAAGTTAACAATGAAAATGTTATTGCAGGTATACGGAAATTATAGTTCAAACTTTGTTGAAAAAAGATATTTTCAAAAATTGTGTAAGATCGAACGTGTGTAAAACAACTACCTTGTGAATCGGGGGATAGGTGTATTTATGTATAAGTGTGAATGTGTATCTGATATATGCATATGGGTAAACAAGTATATGAGTAAGTGTATGAATTTCAACTTTATTAATAAATATCCTGTGTGCCCATATTATCTGAAGTATGAAAAGTGTTATTCAATAATCAGAAGTTGAACTATCTATACAAAATAATTCAAATACGAAAAAGATTCATTAAGTACTGAAAAACACCAAAAGGCTGTTGTGTAATATGATTTACACACAATAAATTTTTCGTAGAAACAAGAGTAAAAAAATATGTTAAAAATAAAATATGCGTGCAGAATATCATCGAACTAGAAACAGTCATCTTGTAAAATATTAAATATATTACAAAAATCACATTTTGTGTAAAACAAAATATTGCACCTTGCTATACATCTCTTTCTAACCTAGCATTCATTTATTTGTTCACTACTAATTGCACAAAAATTCATTGTGAAATCATATCATGCGCAATTTTACACGACCGCAATAGTTAAGTGTGATCCATCACCTATTATTCTTGCATGGTCCAAAAAACGAAATATTTAATAAATTATGTAATAAATTAATTAATACAAATAGATTAGTTTTTAATTGGTTCTAATTAAGAATGTTTCAATTTCACAGTAGAAACAGACGAAGCAGTTACCGGAGAAACCACTATAACCACAACAACTACAACTACGACCACAAGGAGGTAATAATGGGACTCATTTTGGTTCTTAGAATAATATTCTAAACTAGTGGTACATGGCATCGTGCCTTAAGGCAAATTGCCGGAACTTTCCTTTCTGTAATTCAAAATTTTTAAAGGACCCAACATTCTGAAAAAAGACTTTTTTGGAAATTTTGAAACTCATTTAAATCAATTGTTCCATAGTGTCGAAAACGTCGAGGAAATTTATTTGAACTATATAAGTGAATACTAAACATTATAAATCTTGATACAGAACTCAAGGAATTGGAAACGAAATTTGTACTCATTATTAAAATTTCTATAAAATACCTGATAATTTGATGTGCATATGTCTAATGATCATTTTTTACTGCCAAATGGCATTTTTTTCTGGATTTCCTAAACTGCTAGACCTGCCTTTACAAAAACATCGTCATTTTTTTATTCCGTCAACACAAGAGAAATGTTTTTGAATCGTTCAAATCAAACGCTCCGTTCTCTCAAAAACTAAACTATCATTTTTAGCCCTCTTTATCTCAATGTTCAAAATGGCTAGGCCTTCCTTCACCAAATACTAATCAGACGTCTCCCCATCAATAGAAATCGAATGTTTTTTGAATCATTCAAATCGGTTAAACCGTGCTTTCGAAATATTCAACTAAAAATTGTATCCGCACACACACAACTACATACATCCAATTTTTCTAAGGAATGCCAAAACTATCAAAAACCTTTGAAAGGTAAAGATATGCAAAAATTTTCAATGTTTTTTTGCGATTACTATAACTTATCCTACGGGAGGTTAATAAACTTAATACAAAATTGACATACCTTAAATTGTCGAGCCCATCATGAAGGTGAAAAACACTAGTCGGTCATCTAGGTATCGAACAGTATGATACTAAATGTTAACTTGAGAGCTAGCTTAAGACATCAAACAAACAGCTTCTGAGTAGTTGTGATCGCTGTTAAAACAAAAAACCTAAATTATATTATATTATTTACTATTTAAGATAATATTTATTTACTACTTAAATTAATAAACGTACATTGTTTGTTTTTCTCGCAGAGTGGTGGCAGACCAGCATGACCTCTCCGATGAAATGAAGGATCTACTTGCCCAATTGGAATCCCAAAGCAAGAAATAAATGGCGTAAATTCAATACCCAGTAATTATACCTAAAAGGAATATATATAAGAATAATTAATTATGTATCTTTGCAGTTACAACATATTATATACTAAAATAATGCGTACCCAAATGTGTAATGTTGAAATATAAATGTTGATATATATATATATATATATATATATATATATATATTTGACTTGATAAATAAAATGCAACGGTTTTGTACTCTCTTTTGAAAACGACTGATATATTAATAAAATGACGTAGTGCGCTCAACTTATTTTTCACATTTTCTGTGAAATTATTAGTTGACCAAAGCGCTTCTGATTGTGCTCAAATGATCAAGACATAATAGTTTATTTGTAAATAAACTTTGTACACCTACGAAAAAATTAGTAATGCAAATGTTTCGATCGAAGTTTCTTTTTAAACAAGAGAAAAAAGTAAATCTTAATCGCTGAGATGTGATCGTTATGTTATTCGTAAGTCTTTAAGCAACTTTACTTTCATCTCGTCATTATACGAGAAATCTAGGAGTCGCCAGTTTTTTTAATAGATTAAAAATAACAATAGTAAATATATTTTACTTATAATAGCAAAATACATTTTTAGTATATTAACTACTTGAAACGAAAGTGTATTTATTTTTACATTCTGCATCTTATACATAGATATAAGTACTACTTTTATGCTTACCTAAAATATTTAATAAATATCTTAACATGTTTATTTATAGCAATATGAACACATATGTATATTAAGCTGATTTGTTTATTTGTTGTGAAAAATCATAATAATATATATTATAATGTACTGATTGGCTTTTATTCATCACATTGCACATTTACACCGATGTATATATGTGTGTTACAATAAGAACGAATTCTTCTTTAATTTTAACATTTAATTTTAAATTTAACTTTAATCTTTAACAAACTAGTGTGCATGGCATCGTGCCTTGAAGCAAATTGCTGGAACTTCCCGTACCAACAACTATATTTTTTAAAAAAACTTAAAAAATTTCAAAACTGCAAAAATTTTATATTTTTGAGAATTTTAAATATTTAAAAAAAAAATACTTTTTTGATAAATTTGCTTTTTTTATTCTTAGATTTTTTTTGAAGATCTTGTTTTGGTGATTTTTTGTCGAAAGCTGATTTATAGTCAAAATATCGAAGCGCGTAAGCGCCGCGTCGCAGTCTAACGAGTAAACATTGGTGCGGAACCCATATAAATGTACACAAAATTTGTACTTATTATTATAATTTTTATAAAATATCTGATAATATGATATACATATGTCTAATGATCATTTTAACCCCCAAATGGCGTAATTTTTAACTTTTTTTATTCCGGATCTCCGGAAAAGCTGGACCTGCATTTCCAAAAATTTCATTAGTGGTTCAATTCAAGTAAAATACAAGTAAGTCAATACAAGTTTTTTGAATTATTTAAATCGGATGCTCACTTCTCTCAAAAACTGAAATACCATTTTTGGCGCTTTTTGCCCCGTATCTCTAAAACGGCTAAACCTGCCTTTGCCAAACCTAATCAGCACGTCTTCTTATCAATAGAAATCAAATGTTTTTTGAATTGTTCAAATCGGTTGATCTGTGTTCGCAAAATCGTCGACAAAATATGTATCCGCACATACACACACATACATAAATTTTTTCTGTAAGGTATGCCAAAACGTTTAGAAACCTCTAATACGTGAAGATATATAAATATTTTCATTTTCGATTCGTTTGCAATTACTATAACCCTGCGGGAAGTTAATTAATAAGTCTCAAAAAGAAAATTCATGTACTATTTATTTGATTTTAAAAATTATTCACCAAATGCTTTTAAACCAGTTGTAAGTTGCATTTTGCCTTAAAGCTAGTTGCATTAACTTCCCGATACGTATACAAAATCAAATTAATCAATTAAAAACGAGATTTTACTCGATATTAAACCCATGCGATATCGAGTCCGACATACCCAGACAAAAGACCCAGTCTGGGATACCTAAGCGGATTTACTTCGATATACAAAAAAAAAAAACACACATACTTTATCAAAATTTGGTCTCATTCGAATGACTTGAAACGTCGAGAGAACATAAAATTAGCAAATTAGCAAATTGGATTTTTTCGCGAAAACATAAACTATAGTAATAATACTAATTTAAATTATTGCATCCAAAACATGAACATATTTCAATTGTTGAATTTAAGTTAGTATTGTAGAAACTATTTTAAACATTATGTTCTAGTATTTGTAGTACCAACCATATAGTAGCTTTTATAAAAATCGCTATTGCTATATTTAAGTTCATAAAATGACTTTTCGACATCAGGCAGCTTTGATGTCAAATTTCCATTTGAGGTTATATCTCAAATATATTAATTTAATTCATTTTAATAAATGAACAAATACAATTATTAAAGCCACTTACTTCTATGTTCCATTTTGACCTAATTTAGTAATAAGTTTGCTATTTATAAATTTAAATTTATGTCTTTAAACATTTGACTATGATTCAAAATGACATTTATAAATTAAGCCAGAAAACTGTCAACAAACACTTGACTCACTTATAGAAAACATAACCTAGAAACCGCACAAATATCAAAAAGAACTATGTTATATAACAGCAACAGGGTCTTTCTGACTCAGCTCCATAACATACGAGTCACGTTGCAGTTTATGTGTAAATATGCCTGAATGCACAGCAAATACATGACCTTTTGACAGTGTTCAGTATGATTCAGTAGCATAATGTGTGGAAGTTGAAGCGTAACATGGCCTTGCCATAACATTGGTCTGTTATGCAGCAGAATCGGTCCCTTTATTTAATCACCAAATTTATAATACACCTATATACCATAATACCAAATATTCGGCCTATCCCTCTGACTCAATACCAAATATCATATTAATGATGCTGTATTAACCATTTCCAGACGGCTGTCCCCCCTGAGAGGACAATTTCAGTCTGGTGTATCACTCGGCTGTCTTCTCTGAGGCCCTCGACAGTTTCAATTATTATTATTTTAAATGCTAACATATATATAATACAATGATACCCCTGATTGGTAAGTACTGATAAGTACTGATAAGTGCCTGCATTGCGCACTTAACTCGTTCCGGAAGAAAGTTTGTTGTGCGAAAAGTTCTCTATGCGAAATGCATTTTTCATTACAAATACAGTAGGCCCTCGCTTTACACGGCACTCTGGGTACACGGTTCCCATACTACACGGAGCTAAAAATCCGACATCCCTCCGACTACACGGACTTCTTATTACACGGTATTTGGTCTACAGCCCATAAGTTCGTTGTGCAAAAGGGTATTGATGTAAATTTTGTTATTGATTTTTATCTTTTAGACATGCCCGTTTATATAATAGCTGCCTAAGAACACGATTGAGCTGACTATTGCGTCGCGCCAATTTTTGAATAAGGTGTCAATCGTGTCAATACCCTACATGTCATTTCGTCCGTATTACTCCTACTTCAAGTTGTATTTCTTGGTCTCCATACAGCGCGATAAAAATGGTGCGATTTGTACCAACTGTGAGTCTCTCATAGCACGGATCCCATACTGCACTATGTAAGGTTCCATAGAACGCACTATGAATTAGCCTGAATTGTATGTTAAATACGAGTTTCTTATAGCACGGTTCCTATACTGCACGGTACGCACTTGCCGCGTAAAGCGAGGGTTTACTGTACATAACAATAAAATTAATTCGTTCTCTTGTTTGAAATGTGGTCATAGAAAATAAGATATATTTTACATATAATTAGGACATTTGAAAAAATATTACTGATTTTTTAAATAAGTTATTATCAGAGTCGTACTGCTTCTTTCTGTGCCCTTTTAGCTTATGAATTTTTAAAGAAACTGTCGATAGTTTTTTTTTTTCAATAAGTACAAATTCACGGCGAAGCAAAAATTTCCAAGGTCCACCCTTTGAATTAATTTGAGCAGAGTATGTTTTTTGACTACAAATGACAACGATTTAGTGCGTTGTGTGAAGCAAAGTCTGTTGTGTGGAACGTTAGAGATGCAAAAAAAAAATTCGTTATACGCATCGTCTATTACGCGAGGCGTACGTTATGCGAGGTATCATTGTATATAAAAGTACAAAAATCTACAATGGCTCACAAATCTACATTATATATACGGATTGTATCCGGTCATAAAATAAAGTTCCTACTCGGCTTGTGAATCTTACGTATTTAACCATAATCTGTCCATATAGTATTGCATAACACTCGTGAATTCTTTATCATTATAATCCTTTACCTCCACTGGTATGAAAGTATATAAAATTCAAGGAGTTTGAATACACAATGACTCACTGATGAGTCATTGTGTATACTAACTGCTAGACGTATAAGCCATTGTTCCCTCAGGGGGCACAGCCAAGTGAAACAATCTAATTTCTCAACCATTTCACATCACCTGTTAATCATTTAACATTAGTAAATGTAACAAAATTTAACAAAATTTAACAAAATTTACCAAAATTTAACAAAATTCCACACAAATCCCTATCTAAAATTAGATTAATTAAATCATATTCCATCATAGACACTTTCATAAATATTTTGATTGCCTGCCAATATACTAACTCAAAAAAAAATGCAGATGTTTATCAAGTTAAACATCTAAGACCCAAAAAAAATACTTGTAAATATCTTGAAAGATATTAGAAAATGATTACTTTTCAAAGGCTAGATTAGTTTATTGTTAAAGTAGAAGTTACTAATGAAATGAAACATTAAGAATTCAGACACACACAAGTTACAACCAAAGGACAATAGTATTATTCTGTACTTGTATTACAAATTGGCTAAATTGTTTATGCAATACTGATCATTGCAATTTTTGTTTGGAAACAAATACCAGTTTTTGTAGATTGTAGCCAAAATGAAATTAGTAATTAAAAGCTACATTTAAGTTCCAAAAAAATTTACTTGTAAATATCTTGAAAGATATTAGAAAATGATTACTTTTTAAAGACTAGAAGATTAGTTTATTGTTAAAGATACGTTACTAATAAAATGAAACATTAAGAATTCAGACACACAAGTTACAACCCAAAGAAAATAGTATTCTGTACTTGTATTACAAATTGGCTAAATTGCTTATGCAATACTGATCATTGCAATTTTTGTTTGGAAACAGTTACCAGTTTTTGAAGATTGTAGCCAAAATTTAGATTAGTTTTTTGTTAAAGATACGTTACTAATAAAATGAAACATTAAGAATTCAGACACACACAAGTTACAACCCAAGGAAAATAGTATTATTCTGTACTTGTATTACAAATTGGCTAAATTGTTTATGCAATACTGATCATTGCAAATTTTGTTTGGAAACACTTACCAGTTTTGGTAGATTGTAGCCAAAATGAATCTAGTAATTAAAAGTTACATTTAAAACCCAAAAAAAAAATTACTTGTAAATATCTTGAAAGATGTAAGAAAATGATTACTTTTCAAAGACTAGATTAGTTCATTGTTAAAGATAAGTTACTAATAAAATGAAACATTAAGAATTCAGACACACAAGTTACAGCCCAAAGAAAATAGTATTCTGTACTTGTATTACAAATTGGCTAAATTGCTTATGCAATACTGATCATTGCAATTTTTGTTTGGAAACAGTTACCAGTTTTTGTAGATTGTAGCCAAAATGAATTTAGTAATTAAAAGTTACATTTAAGTCCCAAAAAAAAATTACTTGTAAATATCTTGAAAGATATTAGAAAATGATTACTTTTCAAAGACTAGATTAGTTTATTGTTAAAGATAAGTTACTAATGAAATGAAACATTAGGAATTCAGGCACACACAAGTTACAACCCAAGGACAATGTATTATTCTGTACTTGTATTACAAATTGGCTAAATTGTTTATGCAATACTGATCATTGCATATTTTGTTTGGAAACAGTTATAAGTTTTGGTAGATTGTAGCCAAAATGAATCTAATAATTATAAGTTACAATGCTGAAAAATAGTAGGAAAGTAAAAACACTGAAAATTGTGTTATAACCTTTATGAACTCATACAGTAACAAAAAATATATTAGCTTAAATATACTATGAACTGCTCACTGATAAAGACACTATGTGATCTATGTAGAATACGCTTAATGAATAAAATAGCACAATGAAGTAATTTTAGGATTTGAAGTTAAGAAAAAATATATACATATAATTTGTGCAAACATGAACAATTTTCTGAAACATTAAAATTTTGAAATCTAAGCCTAAACATCTATAGCAGGCACTCAGCATAAAGATTTATAAATTAGAAGTAATGGTTTCCCGAACTTTGTCGTAGTTCGCACCAGTGAACGTGGTTACGGTGGTTCCGTTTTTCAGGAACACGAATGTTGGCATGCTAGATATTTGGTACTGGGCAGCTAATTCTTCGCATTCATCCACGTCAACCTATAATAAATTTATTCTGTAGTAACCAACATAGTTAAGGTTATCAGTTATGAGAAACTTAGTGATTTTAGCGTATCATACTTGTAATATAGTATTAACATTAAATTATCTTAATGAATAAATGCAAACAGGTGAATTTAACTTGAAAATCAATTAAGGTATTTACTACAAAATAATTCTAAATAAAGCAAAGTAGTATAATTAAAACTTTAACGATCTAAGCGTGCAGTACTTATGACAATGATATAGCAATACATCAACTTATGAGTGACCTAACGTAAGTATTATGAGATATAAGCAGCTAAACGAACAATATGTTATATAGAGATGAGAGCAAAATTAGAAATACAAACAATTTTGTTTTTTCCACCTAAGAACTTAATTAGTCGCATTTTTTGTTTTCTGTATTGTGTATTAATGATATGTAGGGTGCATAAAATTGTTGATAAAGGTTATAACTCTTAAAAGTTAGTTGACAAGATAAATTAGATTAAGGAGAAGCAAGAGATAGAGAAAATTCCCAACAAAAGAAGAGGTGTTATCGAAAAATAAAAGTAAGTTACATAAATAAAAACCACTCCAAAAATGTTTTGCATGAAAGTTGCTCATGGAACTAGTTTAACTTCCACAATATCATGAATATAGAAAAGAAATAGTCCAGTCATTTAAGCCTACATTAGATAAAAATCTCGGAATTTGAGATACCTAACTGTAAATCTAAATACTTATATTTTGCACCCTAAAAGTTGTCTCAAAACTACATATGGCAGGGTGTACGCAACATATGTAGGTTTTGAGTCAACTTTTGGAGTACAAAATACAAGTATTTACAGACCTACAGCTGGGTATCTCGAATTCTGAGGCAAACTTACTATAATGACGACTAACAGTCCAATCCTCTTCAAAATTAACAAAAAACCCAATAACCAGTGATAATTAGATTCTGTAAACTTCATTTTAGATTTAATGAAATATGTTTGATCTCCATGAATAAATTTTTGTAAATTTATTTTAACACGTTCACGAACAGTAAAATTTTCAGCAATGTTCAAAAATTCAGTCATTTTATTTTTAAATTGGTTGCAATACCTAAAATTGTTTATAAGGCGAGTCGAATATCACATTACACAAGCAAATGTGTAAGGGGGCATCCATTAACCCAGCGGTTTCCAACTTTTCGAAAATAACCCAAAACTTTTGAAATATTAAAAAATAAAAAAACTTAGTTTTTACGCATATTTTTACATAATATTGCTTATTAATTTGTAGTTGTTTCAGTTGAGTATTTATAAAATTCTATTGTTGAAAAAATTGAAGGGGGCAAAACAAATTTTCAGAGCAAAAAAGGTTGAAAACCACTGCATTTACCCATTCGAGATAGATATTTTTTTTCGAACGCGGTCCCCAGAAGCGAATGTTTCTTGTTTATTGTTTATTTTTAAGAAGAAACTTGTTTACTATGGAAATCACCCAATTCGTAAGCAAATTTGCATAAAAAAGATGATTGCACACCGTGTATGCAACTCACTTCTCAAAAAAAATTTATTGCAAGGAACAGTTTGAATGCTTCATTAAAATTGTTAAACATTTTAAAAATAAATAATATAAAATTATTATGTCGCTTTCAATAATTAAAATCAGAATATAATACAAAGAATTTTGTTTAAGAAATAGTAAGAAGTCAAAAAAAAAAACAAGTTAAATAAAAAAAATATGAACAAAGAATTAGTTTTTTTGAAAATGTGTGGATTAAAAAAATAGGTGAAATCTAAATACAGCTATTATTTTACTATACTCCTCCCTCCCCCTAAAAACCTCATGTGATTAATGGAAGAATATGTGTATTTATTAAAATAATACACAAATACATACATAGATATCAATGAAAATTAATGTTTATTAAGAAATTAACACGTTCCTATGTATTTACATACATACATTCTTGTATTACATTACATACATATAGTAAAATGCATTAATCATGCAAAAATTCAAATTGTAGGTATGTACATACGTAGAAATTGGTTGCGGTTGCGGTCCGGATAAACAAGGTGTTACCGTAATTATTTCTAAAAATTACCTTCAAGATAACAATACTGGTGCTGAACTCAGCTGCCAATTCCTCGAGTTTGGGAGCAATCATTTTGCAGGGGCCACACCAAGTGGCAAAGAAGTCGACAACAACGAGCTTCTCTCCTGCCTCAGTCAACTTGGTGTTGAAGTCATTCTAGAGATAATGACAAATGTAAATTATCAAGAAATTAATCAAATATTGTGCAAGTATTTGTATTAGTCATGAGTAAACAATAGAAAAAAGTATGACTCATGCATTTTTTTAGTAAGAAAAATGCACCCAAACGTCGAATTTGGGAGCAATCATTTTGCAAGGCCCAAGTGGCCAAGGAGTCGAATACAAGGAGCTTCTCTCCTGCCTCAGTCAACTTGGTGTTGAAGTCATTCTAGAGATAATGACAAATGTAAATTATCAAGAAATTAATCAAATATTGTGCAAGTATTTGTATTAGTCATGGGTAAACGATATAAAAAAGTATGACTAATGCATTTTTTTTAGTAAGAAAAATGCTCCCAAACGTCGAGTTTGGAAGCAATCATTTTGCAAGGCCCAAGTGGCCAAAGAGTCGAATACAAGGAGCTTCTCTCCTGCCTCAGTCAACTTGGGTGTTGAAGTCATTCTAGAGATAATGACAAATGTAAATTATCAAGAAATTAATCAAATATTGTGCAAGTATTTGCTAAACAAAAATATTCATGCGCGGCAATTTCAAACGTTTCATTTTAAACACGGCGCGGCAATTTCAAACGTTTCATTTTAAACACCGTTGTGGTTAGCTTATATAGTAATGTAAATACATTATTTCAAAGAGTATGATGATAATTTATCTTAAAATTGTGACAGTTTGTAAGTTTTTACTAACAATTTGGTTCCAAAACTAGTGGTGTATGGCATCGTGCCTTAAGGCAAATTGCCGGAACTTCCCGTACCGTATCGAAATGTTCGAGGAATATTAAATGTTTTCAAAAAGCTTATTATAAATACTGTAACATTGTCTAATATTTATAAGAATTATATAAACTAAATTACAAAATAAAATCATTTATTTAAAGTATATAAGTGAGATTTGGAACTTTAGTCAGAATTAAAATTAAAATCTGAATTATTTTTGATATACAAAAAAAAATTTGAAACATTTTTTTTCCAAAAACAATTATTGTGTTAAAACAAGTTAAAAGTTCTTTGAATCATTCAAATCGGACGCTTAGTTGCCTCAAAAACTTCCATTTTTTGCACATTTAACTCTATATCTTCAAAATGGCTGAACCTGCGTTTGCCAAAAACTAATCACCTCTTCTCCCAATCATCACAAATTGAATGTTTTTTAGATCATTCAAATCGGGCACTCCGTTCTCCCAAAAACTCGATTTTTTTCTGCACTCTTTGCTCCGTATCTCCGTAACGGCTGGGCCTGCCTTTGCCAAAAACTAATCAGCACATCTCCCTATCAATAGGAATCGAATGTTTTTTTAATCATTCAAATCGGTTGATCCGTGCGTCCGAAAACGTGGACGAAAAAATGCGGACATACAAAATACACACACGCACACATCCATTTTTGCTGAGGTATGCCTAAATGTTCAGAAACCTTCAAAATGTGAAGTTATGCAAAAATTTTCATTTTCGATTTTCAACCCATTACTATAACTACCCTACGGGAAGTTAATTAAAACTCAAGTGAAATTAAAATCATATAGTAGTAGCTCATGTAGAGTTGACTTCACCATAGATAAATTTTACAATATAATTTAATTTTTATTTCAAAAATAAAGTCTTCGCTATCACTGGAAACAAAATAAATTTGATTTTAAATTAATAAATTAAAAGAAAATCAACATTTAAAAACTTCCCAATAAACTTATAATATCTGTAATAGTATAAATTATCATTGCTTATCATGCTTATATATTTAAATTATAGTGTTTCAAAGGTATATAAGTGTGTAGCATATGTATGCCCTAAAACCGCAGACCATTATTTCAAATTTTAATGAATTTTTGTATGTTTTTGTATGTTAAGATTCAATAAAACCTTTGAAAGATAAATAACATTTAAAAATTTTCAAACAGACTTAAATATCTGTTATTGTATTAACACACAGTGCATAAATATACACTATTTTAGGTCATACACTTTGTATGGCTTTTTAGATCATTCAAATCGGGCACTCCGTTCTCCCAAAAACTCGATTTTTTTCTGCACTCTTTGCTCCGTATCTCCGTAACGGCTGGGCCTGCCTTTGCCAAAAACTAATCAGCACATCTCCCTATCAATAGGAATCGAATGTTTTTTTAATCATTCAAATCGGTTGATCCGTGCGTCCGAAAACGTGGACGAAAAAAATGCGGACATACAAAATACACACACGCACACATCCATTTTTGCTGAGGTATGCCTAAATGTTCAGAAACCTTCAAAATGTGAAGTTATGCAAAAATTTTCATTTTCGATTTTCAACCCATTACTATAACTACCCTACGGGAAGTTAATTAAAACTCAAGTGAAATTAAAATCATATAGTAGTAGCTCATGTAGAGTTGACTTCACCATAGATAAATTTTACAATATAATTTAATTTTTATTTCAAAAATAAAGTCTTCGCTATCACTGGAAACAAAATAAATTTGATTTTAAATTAATAAATTAAAAGAAAATCAACATTTAAAAACTTCCCAATAAACTTATAATATCTGTAATAGTATAAATTATCATTGCTTATCATGCTTATATATTTAAATTATAGTGTTTCAAAGGTATATAAGTGTGTAGCATATGTATGCCCTAAAACCGCAGACCATTATTTCAAATTTTAATGAATTTTTGTATGTTTTTGTATGTTAAGATTCAATAAAACCTTTGAAAGATAAATAACATTTAAAAATTTTCAAACAGACTTAAATATCTGTTATTGTATTAACACACAGTGCATAAATATACACTATTTTAGGTCATACACTTTGTATGGCCTAAAAGCGCAGACCATTATCCCAGATTTTAATAAATTTTTACCATCCTACCACTTTTCGTATGATAATTTTCAATAAAACTTTTGAAAGAAAAATAATATTTAAAAACTTTCACATAGATTTTTAATATCTGTAATTGTATATGTTATAGTGCATGGATACTGGTTTGTATTCCCTAAAACCACAGACCATTATATCCAATTTTAATTAGGTTTAACCATCCCACCACTTCTTGTATATTAAGATCAATCAAATCTTCAAAAGAAAAATAACATTTAAAAGCAAAAAAGCACTCAGCCAATCTTTGCCAAAAGCTAATCAGCATGCGGGAATAGTGCACTATTCCCAAACAATATCATTAAATTAAATTAAATTTCAAAAACTAAAAAAATAATTCAAAAAAATATATGCAAAAGAATATTTCAACAAAATCATATATTACATAATATTTATAATTATTTATATTAGATTAATCTTATGCACTTAACAAATGATTTAGTCAATAAATGATGGAATTGATTGCATGTATATATAATTAATTAAATAATTAATAATAATAAACCAAAGAACTATTTCATAATTTCTCATATAAATAAAGTAACTCAACAAATATTGCATAATTAATATATAATAACCTGATGCACTAATTAAATCAATCGATGATGTTCAATTTTATAGCAAGTTTAGTAATGACATTAGAAATTATGAATCACTTCTATCCGGAAACAATTTTATTGTATAAGAACTAATTCACAGTGAATCCAATAATTAATAATTTATTTTTACTTACTTACATAGATAAAATTATTAGTATACTAAATGTTTATACAATGATTTTAGACGCCCATTCTCAACCAATAATGTCAGAACCTCTGCAATTTGATTATATCGACAATTACAAATATGTGTATATACATATGTATATCTGTGTAAAAATGCTTATTCCACTATAAATAAAACCACAATAACTTTATCTTAATACATATTTTTTTGAACATAAATATTAAGATTATCAATATAATACAAAATTTAAGCTTATAGCTTGTTAATTTGCCACTGTAGAAGATTGAGAACTACAATTTATGGGTTCTTAGCCTTATGAACAATGGAAATAGGTGACTAATATTTTTTTAATTTCACACCATGGAAAAATTAATGTTCTCATTCTTTCACAGAAAATATTTGACATGTGCTTTGAAAGTAAATATAATATATATTCGTAATCTACAATAACTAGTTTTGACTCCACTTCAATTATATTAATACATTGGTATTATGCAATATAAACTAAATGACCACCTAATATTATCTCAGATAATATAAAAACCACAAACTGTATTTTCTGTCTATATATGATAAATTAAACGGAGGAAATGTCTTATTTGTTCTATAAATACGATATTAGGTGGAGTTTTGTCATACATAAATTCAGACACATGTACATAATGTGTATAACATGCATAAGACAACATTTTAATATGAACATTTCTAATATAATACTCAGAATTTTAAATGTACAGATATCGACAATATGGAAAAGACATTGTTCATCGATAACACATAGGTTGACAACATTTCACAATGAGAATTTTGAAATAATATTTTCTGTCAAGTTTTACAAACAGCATTTTGATTTTCTGTTTAATAAAATAGGTGATATCATAAAACACATCATGTCATATAGTTCAAGTGCCCATATATAGATTCTTGAATTGCTTTTAGCTCAATAGCTCTTAGTATTAGGTATAATTAACATAAAAATCAAATCTCTCTTTGGGATTATCAATGATATAAATTTATATATTCTTTATATATCTAAAAGATTATATTTTTAATATCTTTAAAGAATTTTGCAGTACCAAATATAACATATATATATATATATATATATATATATATATATATATATATGTATATATGTATATGTATAATATATCAGTGTTAAAGCTACATTTCCCTTCCTAATACTATAAATAAATATCCAAAACTAAATTTATGTAAAACAAAATAAATCAACATCTGGCAATGAAAATAACTTTTCGATCTAATATATTATACTATATTAATTCAGCGGATCGCATTTTAAGGTATGAGCTGGCCTCGATCTAATATTCAACATATACATTTATTTAAGGTATATGTACATATTTGCGTGTGTATAAAAGATATATATATATATATATATATATATATATATATATATATAACTAGCACACTGAAGTCTATAATACACATAATTATTAATTAATCAAGTTCATCGTATGTCCCATTGCATATAGAATTACAATATTATGCCATACACTACTTTCTGGTTTAAACATACTAAATATCACAAAAAACATGTAAAACAAACCTATCTTTAGAACAAGAAACGGTATTAATACATTGCACATAACTTGAATGTATGTTCTCTAAATGCACTTTGCAGAAAAGTTTAACACTCACTATAGGGAGGCAAAATTATCGTTCGAGAATGATAAGAATCACGTAAGTACAACTCCTGTGGCTCCAAATGGCAAACAACAGTATCCCCATCGAGCACAGCGGCCAAAGAACGAGCCTGTTCGGCGGTCGGTCCGTAATTCCATGGTTTGGTTGATGACCGTTCGGCGGGGACCGGCCCCTGGACAGGGCTGTAAGGTATCAATGGCCGATGATCGCCGTAGGAACGCGATGATTGACGACTCATATCACTCTGCCGCCTTATATCGTCGTCGCTCACATCGGAGACCATCATTTCGCCACGCTCGATCTCCTCGTAAACAGGGTCGTCTTCGGGTATGCGTCGTCCGTCACGAATTTCTGAATACATATGGTTCCATGGGGAGGGGGCTCTCGAACTTTTTCGCGATATCCCACCGTTGACTAATTGTCGAGGGGCGGCCTGCGGCAGACCGATAACTTGCGCATGAAGTCCCCCTTGCATATATTCAGGTGTGGCATGATATTCAGCCGGTGTTATTATGTGGTGCCTGCGACTGTCCCTTCCTTCCCTTCCTTCCCTGCCTTCTTTGTTATTTGCTGGAATGCCGGAGAGCTCGTGAAGTCGAGGTGATTCTTCTTGCTCGGATCCACCATGACCAGAATCACGACTGTAGGACTTATAAGAAATGTTCTGCAACATATAAAGATATATTAATTTCGTACTTCAAGTCAACTTAGTTATTGATATTGACATTATATATTCAAAAATTGGCCTGCACCAATCTAACAGTCACCAATAAATAAGAAAACCTTTAGAATACTAATTTAAGAATTTACATAAAGAAAAGAAAATAGCAGAAATAATCTATAGCATAGACAAGTGTTGAAGATTTTGGCAAATAGACATGCATCGAAAGCCTAAGAAAGTAAATATTATGAAGAAAATTTATAAAACACATTACTCGGTAAACCTCACAACCCAAATTTCTGACTGCTATATTTCACATCCATGTAATCTTCTTAAATTAAGTAAAATCCACAAAAATTATTTACTACAGTAATTAATCCAAAACATTATATAAAAATCAACAATATAACTTTCAAAATAGATTTCAATATAATTATAAAACAGCAAAATCTGAACAAAAATTATTTTTCCATGTATTGTTTATATTATTTTATGAAATTCAAGTTTAATTTAAAGGGGTATTCTGGTCTAGAGTATTTAAAAATTCAATTTTATGTTTTGCATATTTTCAATTGCAAGATTGTGTACAAAAGGATTTTTCAAATTTTAAATTATTTTCGAAGATATAGCTATTTGACCCGGATAATCCTCCTTTGTTTCCTTTCGCCGCGAAACTTTAAGAGCGTTATTCTCTAAACAGCCTTATTTGATACGATACCCACAATTTCTCAACTTCTACGAGACCAATTCACTAAAAATGTTCATAGAATCTTCTTTATAGACTTCTCTTCATTTTAAACTATGTTCATCCTCAAATTCCGAATTTTACTATTTATAAAAATTTCGAGAATATCAAAATAAGTAGCAAATTTTTTTTTTCAGACAGTCGCTACTTTGTAAAAAATCATTTTTTTAACAGAATACCCCCTTAACTTCACCTTGTTTGATCTCACCTGCCACACAAGTGGTTTATTATTAGGTCCCCAAGTGGTTGTTGCTGATTTTGGGATGTTTTGATGCAATGTACCACCGTTGTGTTTTATACTTTTTCTTGTATAGGGTAAAGTAGAAACATTTGCGGATTGTACATTGATTGATAGAGAAGAATTAGAATTGGGGTCGTCTGAGTGAATTTGATCAATAGTTTGATCGTGACATTCGTGAGACATCATAATATCCCGATTGAGATCTGAATTGGAATATATGCAAGATTGACCAATTCCTTGGTCTATTTGACTGTTGCAAGTTTTGTTCATTTGATTCATTGTGTTGTATCCACGACATTCCCATTCGCTTTGGAGTGCATACTGCTGAAAGCAAAGTAGCTCATAGAAATTCCATCACCATATATTATAATAGCAAGCTTGGTGTAAAGCAATGCAACTAATATTGTTACAGTTGATATCATATTAAATTAGAAATTTACTTGAAAGTACAAAATGAAATATTTATATTATTGATAAAGAAATATATGCAGTAACTTCTGATAATTACCACTCAAACAGTTAATACTAAATTGCTATGTATTAAACCAAAAACTTAAATATTTATAACAATATTAGTGACATGTTTACTCCTCTAAACTAAATTATAATAGAATACATAAACAATAACAACAAACAATATTGATAAAAAAACAATAAATACTAAGGACTATAACAAATGAAATTATTACTACTACATATGTTAAGTGGTTAAAACAAATAGATAATTATCTTACATTTATATTCTATGTATAATTTATATATATATATATATATATATATATATATATATATATAATGTAAGTATATTAAGACACTAATTATTTACCGAGACTCTCAAACTTGTTCAAACAGTTTCCCAATCCTTAATTTGGAAAAATTTAATTTTCAGATGTTTTCAATCATTATAAAATATTCAAATGTTCATTGAAATTTATTGATAGATCTTTGCCACACATATTTACGAGTATGTTAAATTTGAACTGGTCAAAATCAAATCAGATGAAATAAATAACAATTTTAAATTTAAATAGCAATGAAGAAATAATAAAAATATTTTAAAAACAACTAAAACCATGTTAGTGTAAATTTGGTTAGTTGAGTTAACCAATACAAAATCTCACTAACAGTGCTCAAATTACAATGTTCATTTTATTTAAAATGAACAAAACATATAAAAGAAAAAATATATACAAAAAGCGAAGATAGAAATGTCTATTGAATGAGAGTTTTACTAGAAGTATGATGTGATATAGTAAGAGCACTTTTTATATTAACAATGAGAGTACAGAAATAATTATAAAGCAGAATAAAAATTCGATGTTTGAGAAGTAGTCATAAAGTTTAGATATTAATAATAAGTATTAATTCCAGACTTTAAAAGCAAAAAACTTAATATCAGCAATGTGTAAGAAGGATTTAATATGTGAACCATACCATTGTTTTAAGACATGGGGAAAGGAGCGTTTATAAGGTCAGCATTACACCCATATAGACCGGTTGATTAAATGTTAAATTTAGGGTTCTTTTGACAATGAAAAATATGCACTCATTAAATAAATTATATTTTTATGAGTATCTTGGTTTTTGCTATAAACTGATAAAAGTAATTTTATATCTTTTTATAGTTTTAAAGAAATATCTAAGTTACAATAATATTTTGAAATCACTGAAATAATTTTAATTTCATTCCTTTTAATAGAGATAATGTAGAAATATTACCCCAATTGTGAGATAATTTCTGAAACAATTATTAAATAATTAATTCATTTATTCATATTGCAGTAAAGGTGATCAAAAAAGCTTTGCATATTCTCCATCATCATGATACATGTGACAAAATCACCATTGCACAGCTAGGAAGATTAGCGTATAGAAGGATTAATAAATGAAACCGGTCTGATTTGAGGAGAAGATACCTTGCTGCTGTCTGTTGTAGTTTGAGAGTCTGGTATGATGCTGGTCGCCGATCTGACTCGGGCGCATATTCGATAGGTTGAGATTATTGATGACAATATTTGGTGTACTAACGCTATTGACAAGGGTTTGCTGATTGTGTCTCTGATGCGTTCCTGAGGCATCTGCGCTTCCCGTCAGTCCAGTGCTATCCGTATTAGGAGCGGACTGGTTATTGGAGTCTTTTCCTGACCCAACGCCGGCTGATGCATTGCCCACACCTGCTGTGCATGATCCTGAGCCTGTGGAACCAGTCGTCTTGGAGCAACGAAGACACTTTGGTAGCCATGAATGACGTCTGATAAACTTGCGGTATTCTTTCAAAACCTGAACAATTTTATTACATGTAATTTTGCATTTTTTTATATTTAATTTGCAGATATAAAAAAATAGCATACTCTATCACACAAGAAGAAAAGCAAACTCATAATACACTTTTATCTTTGAAAATAATTAAAAGAATTTTAATGCATCAAATGTAATTATAGCATTATTTCTTTAGTTGACCAAATAAAATCTCCAAAATAACTAAATTTAGTCGGAAAAATTATATTAATAATTTTTTATGCAAAAAATTTGGTAAATTATTTTATTTTGCACGAGTTTGATGAATAAATCTTATTATATTTCATTAAAAATTTCAAAGTTGTAAATGATATAATAGAAAATGTCGTCTGCCTAAATAAATATTTGTTTCCAGTTAGGGTGATTATTATATAATACCAGAATATCTTTGGCTATATATTTCTAATAAAAAATTAAGCCTCGTAAGTTCTTAAACTTAATCAGTCTGATAAATATGACAACTGAAAGATTTAAATTTTTTTCGCAAATAGCATAACCATCGTATATGATATGCATCCATTATATTTACTACGGGTAATTCATATTTTAAATACCAATTTATATTTGTATCTTAATTTAAAAAAAATAGTTCTTATAAAGTAAACAAAGCAAGCAATTTATATATATATATATATATATATATATATAAATATATAACAAGTGATGTGATACCTTTTCATTCTGTATACAGTGAAACAAAAATATAAACATTCCCTGCAAGGAATTCAGAGCAGTAAATATATAAGCCATGATAACACTCTCTTCATTAAGATATAATAGACCAAAAGTCCATGTTAGTCCCAGTAGAAATACTAAGACTACTGCTCCTCTAAGCCACGCTCTATAAAGTAATATAATAGTTTTCAATTCAATTTAAAAAAAAAAAAATATTCTGAATTCAGTAAAATTAAAACAATACCGACCTTAGGCTGGCTAGTCGAGAATGTTCTTTATTCTTCATAGATACAGTAGAATTAGCATGTTTGCACATCATGAATAATGCCATACTCAGGAAAACTAAGTTTGCCTATAAATAAAAAATCATATAACAAATTAGAATTGTTCATTCAAATATACGTATGCACACTTAAATATTAAGCATCTAAATAAATAATTACAACACTCACAAGTATAACAGCCATCACTGGTCCCACAAAACTGAATATGAAGAAATTGTCAGCACGCAACCAACAATATCGAGGAGTACCATAGCTGAATGGATCAACAATAACTGATATAGCGACTATGATAAAAGGGGCTCCATAAGCCACAGTGTAATACCATCGTATACGTGATTTTTCTGCCTCAAATACTTCAATTAACATTACGTATAACTGGAAACCTGGAAATATTAAAAGATCACATTAGTATGTCGAAATATGATTGTGAACTGAAAATGAGCATATTAATATAATTAATAATTGAATTATAATACACCTGAGTCGTAGATATGTTGCAGGATTACTAAAATACTACTACTACTTAAGATAATATGAAAACAAATGCAAAAGATGTGTATATACAGCAATTTTAAATCTCTTGATAGTATTCAGAAAAATTGCAATTTTTAATAAGATAATTTAATTTAAATAAAAAATGTGGTGCAATTTAACTCAAATATTTTTTTACTGTTTTTACCTTCCAAGAACATCCAAGAAAATGCACAGAGGAAGAAGAAATGTAGTAGGCCAGCAATAATTCCACACAGCACCGGAATAGCCGTCTGGTTTATTCCAGCAACAAACACTAGTTCTGCCAGAAGCAGGCAAACACACAAATTTTTGTGAATGGTTGTTCGATCCGACTGAAACAAATTTAAATTCTATGTCATACAAATCTAGTTCAGATGTATGCATGCCGTTTGTAAAAACTCACATTTAAGATATACCTATTATAATATATACTACATCAAATATGTGCACACAAATAAGCAATGTTAACAAATCAAAAATGCTTCAAAAATTGAAGAAAAATTTTAGTCAAGGATGAATTTTTGAACACAAAAATAAAAATTGATGCCGGATGATTAGTTAGTATTGAATTGTTGATTAGTATTCACCATACTAACAACAATTTTTTTTTATCATTTATCGTTAAGAATAACACACAGCAACTTCTTCGGTAAAATATTGAAAAATATTATCAAAAAAGCAGCACATTTTTATTAATATAACTGTAATTTAATGTTAACATTTTAAAAACTATTTTACCATTTTGTTGAAATCAACGTATATAATTTAATAACTTCTATGGATATATAATTTCTTCAAGAATAATATTTTTAATCATGCAGTACTTACAATTATTAAAATACCATAAATATAAAAAATAATTACAATTTAATGATACTTCATATACAAAAATGTAATTAAAACGAAGTTGCTCATTTCAAACGAATTACAGTATTTTCTCACAACTTAGTCTCTCAATGCAATAGTTCAAGATAAATAAATTAGCACACATGTAGTTAATAAAAAAAATCTTTATGTTGAACACATTTATTAGGGAAATATGACATTAAAAACACAATACACATTCAAAGCACATGCAATTAAATAACTTGACTTACAAAAGCACAATTTAATAGTAATTATTATATTACAAAATTTGCATAATAAATACATCGGTATTTTTACACAAGGTTTTATTTACAAAATTATGATATTGAGATAGTATACTATTTTAAGTGTTTTTAAAAAACGTATGGATTATCAGTCGATTATTGTTATTTACATAAATATTAGTCACATATAACACTATGTTAGGATGACAAAATATACTATATATAGTATCACAAATTCCTATCAATAAATGACTTCATATAAAATCTTTTGTACAATTGCTTCAATATTTTAGAAAACTAGTTTCTAGCATTCTTAATAAAATTATATAATTTAAAGCTTTTGGTAAAAAAGACTGGTAATAATCTATAAAATTAACTCTCGCCAAAGCTTTACTGTACAATTCGTCATATTCATAAATGACAAAATGATTTTAATATAATAAATAAAAATTTCTAAGTTGCAATAATAATTTGTTTTTTTAACTTTTATCAAAACCCAATAACAATTTTATTGAAATCTTTAAATGGGCGGCATTAATCATAGACAGATTTAAAATTATATATACGCTGACCCATATAAGTATGCTACCTCAAGTCATTCATTGGGATTTCCTCTCTGGTGTAAAAATTTTGTGCGTGTTGATAATGTAAATACGTCGAAACTAAATGATTGTGGATGTCGCAATTCTGATTTGAGCCCAAGTTAAGCGAATGAAAATTTGTGGGCGATGGAGACGTTCTGTGCATAACGTCCGAACCGTCATTATGAATATCAGGGGAGTCCGGGTCGCTTACCTTAAGACCTTTGAATAGCTGGAATGTAACGATAGCCAAAACTAAACAGACAACTGATATTATACATCCAATGTATGTTATGATCTGTAAAGCGACTTGATGAGCCGGCGATAACGTCGTCGAATGCACGTCCATCAAAATCGCAAAATTTGTCAAATGGTCACACAGGCACGTGGTATGGGTCTGATTGGTGGACTCGACGCGGCAACCTTCTTCGGACCAAACGCTGTTGGAAATAATAAATATAATATATTAGCAAACACTTTTTTAATAGCTAACAAGCCGAGATATTAAAACATGAATTTAAACATTATTTTCTTTTACTTCAAATGTGTTAAGGGAGTATCCTAATACAAAACATTACAAGAGTAAAAAAATCAATCAATGAATTCATGGCCAATCAACTTACTTTACTGTGTAATCCCAGAAGACACACGATGGATTACTGACATTTTCCGTCTTGAGGTGCCTGAGAGATAATTTTATAGGCTGCGAAAGCTGAATGTGCCGGCCTTTTCCTAAACTAGCTGATATCACTTTACTGTTAAGCACTCGTGTTACATTCATTTTCTGGTAACCATCAGCTACTTTCGCCATTTGGAGTTGGTCCTCGCTGGGCGGCTTCAAAATTTGTTCTAGTCTGTCGAATGCCACAAACACTAAACGCACGAGCCCACCCTCACTATTTTCCAGTACTGCTTCTCGTGGTAATTGAATAAAATCGTTGCTCGCAGTCCAATGGTCAAACGATTTTGCTGATGGAAAGACTTCAGTACCAATGTTTCTAGTTTCTAGTACACGCACGGATAAAACTGGAAATGAATTTTTCGAATAATTATCATAATTTCTTAACTTTGCTAAACTAGACAGACTTTTAATAATTAACATACAAAATATTTTAATCATATTATGCAATAAACTTATCACTTACGTATATTTTTCACAGTTTGAGTTACAGTCCTCTCTCTAATAACTGTATCAGCTAGAAGAAATGCATTTTCCTCTAGACCGATGAGCAAAGATGTTGCAACTCGCATCTGATCGTCATGACTCAAATCCATCCAAGACGGATATTGTGAACTATCTAGCAAATTACTTCCAGTCAATACCACTCCATGAAGGAGATCGGTCACTATAGCTTCTCTTTGCCGTTGATCTGTAAAAAAATGTATTATTGTAGGAACAAATACATTCAAAAACAAAACAAAAATGTAAAAAAAGACTTCATTTAGTAATGAAATTATTACTAACCTGGGAATGTCTGTATATCGACAGCCATTTTTTGGGCCATTTTCTTAATAATTTTTGTTGTGGTCATCATATCACCTCCGTATAAAGTCTTGCTGCTAGTCACTTGCGACAGATCATTAGTGATCGCAATTAACGATTCGCCTTCATTAACTCTCGACTCCAAACTATTTAGCCAAACACTTCGACACTCGCTCAAGTCTGGGGTTTCAGGGTACCACCGTGTGGCATACTTTTCGGTATTGTCGGTTCCTGCAGTGCTGTAATATCTGTTAGGTACAGGAACGCAGCGCCATCGAGCCAAACCTGTGGCGCCGCCTGGACAAGGTTGAACTTTTACTTCATTCACGCGAGTCCAATTCCAAACTAAATTTCGAGCATTATTGGGTGCGCAATAATGTTGATATGAAGGCTGCTCAATGCCAGAATTCTTAGAAATATCACGGTTTTCAGTATTAACATTCGGGTTCGCGGTTTCTGGATTATATCGGATCGTATCTCCTGAATGGAATGGATCTGAAGTTCGGGGTGGTTGATATTCGTGCTGCTCCCCTGAGGAGGATTCGCCATCATTCGATGCAACAACGCCTGAAATGATATGTTATAAACAAATTAATAAACATCTTTTATAATAAAATCGCCGTCAAAATATAGTAATAACAGAAATATACATTAATACTGGAATTGATTCTGGAATTTTGATCATCTTTAAAACAAGATACAAAATATTTTATAGATACATAATAAACATAATATATTTGTATCTATAAAAACTTTTTTTTATATTTTTTTTTATAATTGTATTTGAACAGCGATCAGAACTTATGGGTTCTATGAGCTGTTATGATTAATCTTACAAACTACGTTGACAACCCAAACAGTTGTCACATCTCTGTATGATAAATTTTCTGTAATAGGGCAAGTATGGTGCAACAATGCCGGGTGAGGGCTATTTTCACTTGGAAACATATTGCTATTTATATTTCGAAGTGAAAATCGTTGTCACTGTTGCCTGACAGCAGGCTGCTCCAAGTGGGTATCGAACCCGGGACCTCTGAAACAAGTCCCGTCGCTCTTAACCGCTTACCTACGGCCGAGCCCATAAAAACTTAAACATAAAAAGTGTTACATCTAAAAGTATTTGTATGACTCTTATTTGCATTTCTCGGATTTTGACATAATGACATAAATATGTACTTGCAATTATGCTTTCAAACGGATTTTACTAATACACTTGTGGCATTTCTATTAGATCAAGTTCCATCGATGGTTACTTTGACTTCCTCACTATTTGACTTTATAACATTGAACAATTTTATGCTGATCGCACAGTCTAACATGCATTTTCTGATGCATGTAAGATTCTACATATATTGGGCTCATTAAGTAGTATTTATGACATCAATTCAAAACTATTTAAACAATATAAAAATGTTAACTAGTGGGGTGTATGGCATCGTGCCTTAAGGCAAATTGCTGGAATTTCCCGTATCGTAACGAAATGTTCGAGGAATACTGAATGTTTTCAAATAGATTATTATCAATATTGTAACATTTTCTTTGCAAAGATGAAATTATTTGTTTAAAGTATATTAGAACTCTAGTCAGGATTAAAAATAAAATCTGAATGATTTTCGATATACAATAAAAACTTTCTTTGAAAAAAAAAATTGAAAAAAAAAGTTGAAACAAGAAATTTTTTTTTTACAAAATCAATTATTTTGTTAAGACAAAAAGAAAGTTCTTTGAATCAATTAAATCGGACGCTTAGTTCTCTCAAAAACTGTCATTTTTTGCACATTTAGCTCCGTATCTTCGAAATGGCTGGGCCTGCCTTTGCCAAAAACTAATAAACACTTTTTCCAATAATTACTAATTGAATGTTTTTTAGATCATTCAAATCGGATACTCCGTTCTCTCAAAAACTCGATTTCTATTTTCTGCACTTTTTGCTCCGTATCTCCGTAACGGCTGGACCTGCCTTTGCCAAAAACTAATCAGCTCTATTCCCTATCAATAGGAATCGAATATTTTTTGAACCATTCAAATCGGTTGATCCGTGCGCCCGAAAACGTGACTGGAAATTTGTATCCATACATACATACAAACACACACACACACACATCCATTTTTTCTGAGGTATGCCAAAATGTTCAGAAACTTTCAAAACGTCGAGAAATGTAAAAGTTTTCAATTTCGATTTTTGGCCCATTACAATAACTTACCCTACGGGAAGTTAAAAATTAATTGTCTTAATAATAAATAAAAATAATCACTCACCAAGCTTAGATGATTCGTGGTGATGGTTCTGATCCTGTGGTACTTCCTTCGTTACATTTGGTGACTGCAAAGGTATAACTTTCTGGTAGTTGTTCGTCGGTTGTAACCGAGCCGGTGGTGTTCTGGACATAGTAGGTGGAACTGGTGCCGCCGTCGGTATCACAGCAGCGGTCGGCGTAGCTTCTGCCACGGTGACAGGCGTAGCTGCCGTGGGAACCGGTCGCGGCTTAGGTGTCGTGCTCGTGACCCGAGCGGTCGCAGGCGGCACGGTGGACGTGCTCCACACGCTCGGCTGCGACGTGATCAGCCACGGCGGGCTGGGACGTTTCGTAGTCACCGACATAGTTGCTACGAATGGAAAAAGCAAACCGTACGGGTTAACACCAAAATCATAATTATTATGAATAACAAAATAAAGTCCACGTAAATATTTTAAAGCCCACACACACACACACATACACACATCATATATATAAAATTCTTCTGTAATGCTGTATGTAAAAATACTCCTCCTAAACGATTATTCGGATTTTGATAAATCTTTCTGAAGTTTGTTAAAGGAATTTTTTAGGATATATGTAATTATAAAAATATAGTAATATTATAAAAATAAATGGAACTAGTGGGGTGTATGGCATCGTGCCTTAAGGCAAATTGCTGGAACTTCCCGTACAGTAACGAAATGTTTGGAGGAATACTGAATGTTTTCAAATAGATTATTATCATAATACATAAACTGAATTGCAAAGTTGAAATTATTTGTATAAAGTATATTAGAACTATAATCAGATTAAAAAATAAATTCTGAATTATTTTCGATATACAAAAATAACTAAAAAAAATGATAATTTTTTTTTCCAAAATCAATTATTTTGTTAAAACAAGCTGAAAGTTCTTTGAATCATTTAAATTGGACGTTTAGTTCTCTCAAAAACTGCCATTTTTTGCACATTTAGCTCTGTATCTTCGAAATGGCCGGGCCTGCCTTTGCCAAAAACTAATAACCACTTGTCCCAATCATTACTAATTGAATGTTTTTTAGATCATTCAAATCGGATGCTCCTTTCACTCAAAAACTAGATTTCTATTTTCTGCACTCTTTGCTCCGAATCTCCGTAACGGCTGGACCTGCCTTTGCCAAAAACTAATCAGCTCTTCTCCCTATCAATAGGAATCGAATGTTTTTTTAACCATTCAAATCGGTTAATCCGTGCGCCCGAAAACGTGCACGAAAAAATGCGGACACACAAAATACACACAATTATCGTCTGAATTTTACTTAAATTCAATATGTATAAATTATTCCGCCTATCCGTTCACAATCGTAGTCATTTGATTCGTGGCATAGCAAAACATGCGCGCTTTCACACAACTAACATGTTCTAATACTCTGGCCTAATACTAAATACTATATATAATTAATTATTTATGCTGGTGCATGCAAATGGAAAACGTACTGCAATATAGCTATCACGAAAATATAAAACCACGAGGTCGAAAAAACACATTTTTTTTAACTTATCCGTAGTGACATTATTATTATCACAGTATTATTCCAGATTAATAATATGAAATCATGGGTATGGTAGGTGCCAATGTCCCTTCACCTTATATATTTAAAACTTTATGACTATTTTTAATTTTTATTTTTTCTAAATTCTCTAAACATTAATTGATAACTTGTAGAAAAATATAGTAAAAATATTGTTTGCCTTAGCTTTTAAGCTCTTTCAAAAACCGCATAAAATTTATGCCTCTAGATCAAAATATCCCCTTAATATTCGATATAATTGAAACATGTTTAAAATTATAAACACAACTATTTACTTCATATTTTTTTATAATTCTCATTTTTTATCATTTTAAATTTTAATTCAATTAATAATTTTTTTGCTCTAATATTTATATATCTACAAAACGGAAAGTTTCAGCGATTAACCATAAAGACAATGTCATTTAGTACTCTACCAATTTTTCCTGGGTCAAACATAAACGATGGCAATGTCTAAATATTAAATGCGGAAATAAATATGCGTAAACGCGGTGGAAAATTCTCACGTTGCGATTTAGTTAAATATGTATGTGCTCAGGTTAGTATTAGGTCTGGATAATGGTCACAAAAGCGGCTTTCGCGGCGCCAACAAAACTGCGTTGTTCCATTGAGTGTTAAACAATGTGGATTCAATTACATGAAATTCAATTGAAAGGTTTCAAAATAAAGGGCAATCTGGTTTCGATTTTTACGTACTGACATATAGCAAAACCGTTATAGATTTTTAGACAATAATTTGAAAATAAATAATTTCAATAAAAAAACACATAGGGTAGAGCGTGGCATGGCATAAAGGTCCGCGGCAAAAAGGTCCAACACCCCAAAATTTCAAAAACAAGTAAAGTTAGTTTTTTTTTAAAACAATGTTTGAAAGTAGAGGGTAAAAAAAGTGTAACAAGCTATCGCCTTAAATCGGGCAACATCGCTATCTCAAGATAAAAGACACATATTTTTTCGTTGTTAGTCTTTTTCTTTTTGAGCACGGTTGTTTAGTTTACGATACCATTATAAAATTTTTAAGTATGTGTTATTTAAATGTCTTATAAGATGTTTTTTATTTTTAAGTTATATTCAATCGTTTTTCTTACATAACCTCTAGAATAGCTTGCATGTGGTTGGGGTAAGAAGGACCGCCTTAACGTTTGTACTGGCGTGCAGGTGTAAATAATAAAAAGCTAGTAAATAAAAATGTAAAATAAGTTTTAAAAAAGCAATTTTACTAGATATGAATTAAACAAATAGTTAATCGAACTCTGATAATAAATTCTTCCGACAAAAATTCATACAAAAGTTGTTAGTCTTTTTCTTTTTGAGCACGGTTGTTTAATTAGTACGATACCTGAATATAATTTTTACATATACTTAATTTGATTGTTTCTTAAGATGTATTGTTATTTTTTAAGATAAATTCAACCGATTTTTTATATAACCTCCTTAAAGTTTTATCCTGTGCGATCTTTATAAAAAATGTGCCCATAAAATATGTACATATTGCAAACAAAAATAGTATTTAGCTCATTGTATTGGAGAAACAATAAGTCTGATTATAATTAAATAAATAGAAATAATTACCAAAGCGAGGTTTATGAAGTAGTTTGAGTTAATTTTTTTTTTTGTAAATTTAATAAATCGCAAATAATATAGCTATTATTCTATAATAACATTTTAAAATTAAAAATAAAATGGTGGATTTTTATGTCCTTGACTGTACTTTTTAACCCTGTCTAAAGGGTAAAAAGGACCAAATAACAAGTTTCTGAAAAATGGTAAAAAAACATATTTCTACAATGGTGTATAAGCTGGGCTTTACTAAACTTAGTCAGATAGTTGTTTGTTTGATATGTGTTATTTGTTGCTATATAATTGGTTTGGTTTAAAAAAAACGATGTAATTGCTCAAATCTAATTGGACCTTTGTACCCCGCCATACCATATATAAAATTTCGAAATATGATTTAAATATAAAAAACAAATAGCCCGTACTTGTCAAAATTTAAAAAATTTCTATAAGTATACTACGGTGTATAGATATATAATTTTATATAAATGAATAAGTAATAAAATTCAAAAACATTATTATGCGAAATACCAAACAGAATTCACTTCAGAAAGAATAAATGAGCTTATGAACGTCTAGTCGGCGTATTACATTTTCGGAAAAGTACGTTTTAAAAAGGGGATTAATAATTACGAGAACCTTTAACTGGTGGGCGCTTTTTTCCCAAAGCCCACCCGCCACAAAAACTATGAATATTTCCATATGAATATACGCAAATTAGTATGAGTTTATGTATGCGCATGCAGATGAAGTAAATATTTTACAACATCGCATTTTTATTAATGTTACGGTAGCTTTTTCGATACGAATGCCTCTAAATGAAAGCACCAGCAAAAACGGGAATTTTGTGGAAAACGTAGGCGAGTGATACCTAATACGAGTTAGTTACTACCTTTTAGGGCGGAAAAGTACTATATTTAACAACAGAAAAGTTTTTTTTTGTTCGAACACTGTCTGTTTTACTAAATATTCATATGGAACATTGTATAATAAGCTTAAAAATTCATGCAAGTTATTTTTACAGACTTGACAGACAAATTTTGTTATAACGACTTCAATCAATATAATAATGATAAGGAATGAAAAAAATATTTTTAACTTTTAACGGTATTGATTTTATATCACAATTACATTAATTAAGAAATACATCAAAATAAAAACTGAATTAAAATAAAATATTTAAAATATTACATAAAATCAATTCAGACTGATGTATAAGGTCTGTCCATCCAGAGGAAACAAAAAAAAACGAGAAAAAAGTAAGAGTAACAAGATCTTAGAAAATTATTACAATAAAGCAAAACTTAAAGGTCCGCGGGTAAAAAGGTCCACCACCATTATTTCAAAAACAAGTAAAGTATATTTTTTTTAATCATGCATTTTAAAGTAAAAGGCAAAAAGCGTTTAACCATCACCTTAATTCTTAGGACGGAGATAAACTCTTATCAAAAGTATTCTTATTACATTGGTAGTTCTTTTGCTTTTGAGCTCTTATATTTAGTTTGTGATACTTGAATATAAATTTTAAGTATACGTTATTTAATTGTTTTGTTATTTTTAAGTTAAATTCAACAGTTCTTTTTATATAATCTAACTGCACCTTTTCATTAGCAAAGGCGTAAAAAATAGTAGATAAAAAAGTAAATTAAGTTTGAAAAAAAATTTACAAAAGATAAACTTAATTGATAGTTATTCGTCCTCTGCTGATAAATATTTCAAAATACAAAATACCATATCAATGTTATATATAATAAAATCTTTGTAAAAAATGTTTCCATGACATTTGTATTTCATATTAGTTAATTAACGCAGCTATTATTTCGTAAAATCCCTTAAAATTAATAAATGACGTTGGATCTGTTTACCCCCTGGCCCTGGCGGGGTAAAAAGGGACAGTTGACAAATTTTAGAAAAATAAAAAAATAAATTTCTGTAATTAGGAGCTAACTGAAAATTTTGCTGAACATAAATGTTTGTTTGATATATGTTATGTGTTGTCATGAAAGTAAAATTGGACCTTTGTGCCCCGCGCTATACTATATTATAAATTATATTTAATTATAAATATCTAATAATAACGTAATCTAATAATATATCTGATAGTAATAGTAAAATACTATTTAATATCTACCTAATATTTTTAACAGTTTTCACAAAGCCTACAAATATTATTTTCGTACTATAATTTTAATCATATGTAACTATTTATACCCACTCGTACTATTTGATGACCAATTTTACTATTTAGCCAGAGCTACATATTATTAAATTACTATATGTTATAACTTATGAATCATAACTAATTATACAAAAGTCATAAATTCAAATTAAGTTCATAGTGAAAAGACATTAAACAACCATAACATATTCCATAGCACGTTTGATCAATCAATATTTTATTATACAATTACAGTAAACAGAAATTTTATGAAAGTGTTGCATAAATAATAAATTCTATTTATTGCAAAACGTATATAAAATACACAGAGGTAGCAATGAGACACGAATGGCTTGATTTTGCAAATTGCAATTAATAGTTAATTATTAGTGATTGTAGTTAAGGATAATTTGCCAGGAACAAATCATGCATGAATATTTACTTTGTAAAATTCTGCGAAAGACGCGGATTGTAGAAAATATATTACTATATAGTCTTCCATTTAGCGCCTTGAATTAATAAATCATGAAAAAAAATCGACATCCAAAAAAACATTTCATCCGAATCCAGAAACAAATTCAGCAGTCGGACAGGTGTAATAAAACAATTGGGAAATACACCAATTTAAGTTAAATCCTGTGAGATATCTGGCAGTAGGAAGTAACTGCTGTACGACTGTATATTAATATGGAAACAATTTATCTTCCCAAACGTTGTCGGGTGTATTTAATCCTCGCAATTGAAAATTTCTCGTACACGATTGTATTCATAAAGTCCCTAAACAAAATATAACCTATAATAAATAAACATTTTATACGCTCGTTTGGACATAAATTACTGAACTAGTGATATATGGCATTGCGCCTTAAGACAAATTGATGGAACAATCATAATAGTTACACGATGGACATTAGTATTCATTTAATTAATGATAAATCAATTTTAATTATTTCAAGTAAATGTTCGAATATTTCAGAAGAATAATTAACACTAGATTTACGGATGTTGATTATATACCTATTTTTACTGAAATGAATTTGGCTCAATAAATAGAAATTTTTGGTGGCATCGCCATACTTGTAAGTATCAATGTATATAGTTCTGTATGTATATAGTCATCAAATTTTTATTGAATCAAATCGGGTCCGTAAATCTAGTGTTAAAAAGTAAATCTAAATAAACATTTAATTTTCTACCTTTATCAAAAATCAATGGGCTCTCTCACATACACGAAAAGTACACTTTTCTACTTGTATTCTAATGTGACCAATCAAAAAAAAATTACTTTTGATTTTTGATGATTAAAATTACTTGAACATAGACGAATATCACAATTAGCAAGAACATTGAAAAGTTTCCTTCTGGATTTAAGTTGATATAAGACTAGATACTTACATGGCATACACTGATAATGAGCTTCTAAATATTTTAATGTTCCAGGACAAGGATCTCCAAACATACTGGTGCTGGCTAAAATGCTGCAGTTTTGTTGCTGACTACACCTGAAACAATAAAATAGAACATATTAATAAAAAATTAATTATTTTTAAACAAACTAACAAGACTATAAAACTTTATTAGAAATTCATTATAGCCTATAATTAGGAAACAATATAAATATAATCATTAAGATTATTTTACCTAAAGGTGTGAGTAAAAATAACTATATGCTGACTTTAGCTATTTTTATAACTTCATAATATCTCATTAATTTTAATATGAACAGAGTTTACGATGCTTTTGCATGATGATTTGCAATTTAATTTAACAATCATGTAGTATAACAATTTGTACAAATCATATCAATCCGGTTCTTAGTTTTAGCGCGCAAATAAAAAGTAAAATATTCACTTTCTACGATTTCTATATGATTTTCCTTCTAAATCGATAGAACATACAATTCGTCCTTTAATTATTTTCTTATATTAAAATCTGTTGACAAAAGTACTAAGCTGCTAACTCAATATTCCTGTTGTCATGTGCCGAACGACGCAAGAACAAGAATTTCTGAGGTTTCATAATAATTTTCCGACATTAGCATAACAATGTACCAAATGTTGTCAAGAATGTTTTACATTCTTGTTTGTCGAGTCTGACTTATTTAGAATTAAGTATTTACCAATACTTTATATGATCTGAATTTATTCTCAAAATTTTCCAGGCAAAATTCAAACAATTATAGGAGTAATTAGATTAGGGAGCATCCATTAATTACATGAAGCTTTTAGGGAGAGGAACGGGGGGGGGGGGGCTTGGCAAAAAATCACGTGGGAAGAGGGAGGGGTCTAGTAAGATGTCACGTGTATTTATTTTTCACCCAAATTTTCAAAAAAAAATACGATTTTTTCGTAAATTCGAACAGTTTGTTCGAAAAATTTTACGTAACTAAAAATACACGTGATGTTTGATGGAGGAGTGGGGTAATTTTAAATATCACGATGTATCACAAGGGAAAGGGGAGGTCCAAATATCCCTAAAAAATTGATCACGTGATTAATGGACTAAAACTATGGATTTTAAATTTTGCATTGGTTGAATAATGTAGCTATTATTTCGTAAAATCTTTTTGCGTTGTGTTGTAATGTAGGCCTTAGCTTTAAATGACAAGAAATTTGGTTCGAAAGTGATTTCTAATATACATATGATTCACCCTATAGTTAAAATTAGGTATCGTTTAGGCAATAGCAAAAATAACTTTAGTTTATATAACATGAAAGGATAAATCAATTTATAGTAGATCTGAAAGCCCCCATGAAATGGGATTGTAGAAAAATATAATTCAAACAAAAAATGACGCTTATTTACAGATCCATTGGCAGTATGTGCGTAGACTCGAGCGATATATAGAAGCCACGGGGAAAGAGCGCAATCCAATAAAAAATATGATTTAATATATGAAATCCAAGCAAGAGCAACAGCGGGAAAAAATCCAGCGACCGCTCAGAGGAAACATATGAAGCGGTCGGATATCTGATAACTCGGCTCGCACGGAACTGCACCACTTGAAAAAATAATCAAAATGGAATTTCATTTGTCGGTATGTATTTCGTATGAGAACTGGCAGAGGGAGATTGCAGTCGTACCGTATATATGACTCTATAAACGTAATTAAGTTCTAGAATACAATACAGTATGACTGCTTTTGCCGGTTGCCCGTTCGACTCAGTACGTTTGATGCGAAACGTGAGGCGTTCGACTCATCACCACTTTAACTCTGCACCGTCTATTGATGGTTATGATTAACAGAAACTATTGTTATCAAGAGTTCATCAAAACGCCGCCGAGAAGAATGCCCCGAGATTGCTTTTCGCACTATATGGTTGTATTAATTGATTTACTATTTCTCGACGCATGTGAGATTGCCTGTAACCAACAGATACATCCCGTTTCATGTGGAGCACGTACAACTCTATAGAAATGTACGAATATATCGAACATTATGTCGAAACGATGTTATACACGAAACTACTTTTTTCTACATCGTCATCAATCACAAAGGTAATAGATTTGTTTATCGCATTGATGGTGAAAGACAAATACCATCAAGCCTACTAGAATTACTTTTCGAAATTTAAGTTTTGACAGAATATTTTTTATTTATGACAGATATTATTTTTCAATTTTATATTTTTGTGCTTTCACATTCAAATAAAAAATAGTTTCAAGTATTTTCCCCAGACTTATCTTTCGTATTTGGCGTAAAGGGTAACATGCGAGGTCATATTTTAAATGTGAAAATAAGCTTTGATGTATGATTGCATATTTCACATTCGCGTCGGTTTATTTACGCGTTTTTGATAACTGTTGAAAAAAATATTTACATACCAGAATGCTCTAAAAATGGAAAAACATTCGTAAATAAACTCATGCATATCGATTACTTTATAAAACCATATTATTCATATAGTTTCGATACAAATATTCGAAAGCACCATCAAAATCTCTGGAAATAGAATGACTTGGGTTCATAATTATTATTGTAGCACTAAATCGGAAATTTAAGTCAGCGTTAATGTATACATTCTGTAAGATAGAAACGCTGTATGAGGACAGACTGCACTTCACACACGAATCTCAACGGAATATATTCAAATGACAAATTCTACAATCAATTTGTTGCAAGCGACTAAAGACCGTTGTATATTTTAGTAAATGCATTTGAGTGAGTGGCAGCAGAGCGAAGTTATGTTTATCAGATTGTTTGTTTAGTTTAACTAGAGCGTCGAACTGCGAGCATAGACGCTCATCGCAGATAGGACCGCCGACTCCTGCATCCGATTGCTGAATTACATTTAATCTCCGTCAACGAGGCAGGCTGTATACACTAACATTTTTGTTTATTTATCGTTCTCCCGGGCATCCCCGAGAGCTTGGAACGCCCGGAGAACGGGTCTGAGTGCCCAGAGAGCATTTTTCTTTCGGCCTCCCGGCAAGCACCAGCTGCAACGACAATAAGATACAGCATTATCGCCGAACCAATACTCGCCACTCGCCACGATCACTATATCTGATGAGTTTCAAATGCGAATAAGGAGTCAACATGAACGAAACGCTTTGGAACACATTCATTGGGACTGCTTTCGGTGTCGATTTATAATATCAACAACTTATTAGCAATAGAGCTATAATAAAGCGCGGCTTAAAAGTTCACGGGTAAAAAGAACCATCATTATTACATCATAAACAATTGAAGTATAGAATTTTTTAACTATACTATTCTGAAGTAGAAGGCAAAAGATGTGTAATGAACCATCGTCGTAATTCTAACGATGTCGCTATCAGGGAGACCGCCATGTATCAATATTCATAACGAAAGTATTTTGTTTCGTTATTAGTTTTTTTGTAATTTTTAGCTCTTTTATTTAGTTTATGATACCTGAATATAATTTTTAAGAATACATTATTTATTGGTTTTATAAAATATATCGCTATTTTTAAGTTAGATTCAACAGTTTTTTTTATAAAATCTCTATAAAATCTTTCATGTATTTGGGGTAAAAAGGACTAATTAAACCTTTACATTGGCAGAGATAAAGCATTAATAAGTTAAGTAGATTAAGTTAAAAAGAGCAATTTTACAAGAGATAAATTAAATTTATGATTATTCCTACTCTACTAATGAATATATCTCACGCAGTTGCAGATCTAGGTTATATATGTACGGTTATGAAAAATGTACTCATGTAATTTTTATTTCGCATTGGGTAAATAATTTAGGGAGCGTCGATTAATCACGTGAGATTTTTAGTGGAACGGGGATTTAACAGAAAATCACAAAATATCACGTGAGGGAAGAAGGAGTATAATAGTAAGATATCACGTGTATTTATTTTTTACCTAAAGTTTTAAAAAAAAATCCAAACTCAAAAATTTTACAATTTTTTTTTTTGTAACTAAAACTACACGATGTGATGTTTGTTGAGGGAGGTGGGTAATTTTGAATATTACCACGTATCACCAAGAGATAGTGGAGTCCAAAAATCCTTTTAAAAAATTGATCACGTGATTAATGGACGCCCCTTTAGCTTTTATTTCGTAAAATTCCTTTAAAACTGAAAGTAAGACATTGTGTCTGTTTACCCGATGGCTCTCCCTTACTACTCAGCGAATGGGGTTGAAGAGCATATTTTAGGAAAATATGCTAAAAAACATATTTCTATAATTAGGAATTAATTGTGAATTTTATTGAACATAGTCTGATAGTTGTTTGATTGATTTGATACGTGTTATTTGTTGTTTTGTAGTTCATTTTGGTTAAACAGTAAATACTGAAAGTCAAATTGGACTTTTATGTTCTGCCCTACCTTTTTGTGTGTGATTTGATTTTATAATTAATCCATCAATTTTGAAGTCAGTATTCAGTATTAATCTATAAAATATATGGGAATTTAACTATCATATAAATATTTAAAGTAAATAATTTTGGAGTTAAAATTTTAAATTCTTTAATATTAATATTGTGCAATGTGAGACAAAGTTGAAAGATTTGTGGATAAAAATCACCCCTAAAAAGATGCAACTAGTAGAGCATTTAATTACTATTTACTTTATTTTTCTCCCAGCTTACTGGTAAAATAACAAAATTATTGCTGACCAAAAAAGTGGCAAAACCGTACCCAGTGCCCCCTAGATAACAAAGTTAAATTTCATTTTTAATAAAGTAACATATAACTAGTAGGTAATACATAACAACAAAATCGATAAAAATTTTGTTTCAAGAACGAACAACTTGATACCAGAATCAGAATTGAAAAAGTATCCAATTATGCAAAGCGCAATAATAGATAGCACAAGCGAGTATCGGATAAAATAAACTCAAGAAGTCGCTTTCAATCCTCAGCAAACAACGGTACGTGATCGACATGCAGAGTCGTGCGGTAATTATGCGGATAGGCATCAGGAGAGGTCGCAACCCCACGCGTACAGCCGGTAAATCAGACCGAGGCGGGCGGCACCAGCGAGAAGATCGGAACAGTTTTTGGGTTCGAACCGCCGAACTGCC